CTTCATGTTTTGACTACTGCTATGGTCAGCTGTACAGCTGGCACCAGGGACACGTCACGGTTGACGTTCCTGTGTAGAATGGGGCTAGCCCAACCAAAGAGATAAATGTAAAGGCCTGGTTTGGTTCAGGGTCTTTCATCTTCCAGCTGCCTGCGTGCATGTTGGAGGTGCAAGATACCTGAGCGTGTAATGTTAATTTTTTTTTTTACCTGTGTTCATTGAATAAATCAGCACTGTATTGAAGCTACTTGAACTGCCTCGCCTCTCAGAGTTAGCATGCTAGAAGAACCGGAAGACTTCAAGGACTAACCCTGACTTTGCACGCTCTGCCGCCTTGTGTTTCATGGAGACTTGCCTCAGCGACTCCATAGCGGACAGCGCAATACAAATTCCGGGTGTACAGAGCAGATCGCATAACGGAGCTGTGCACGAGAGGAGGTGGAATCTGTCTCTACATAAATGAAGGTTGGTGCACAGATGTCACTGTGCTACTGAGGACATGTAACACAGACTTAGAGGCTCTTTTTATCAATTGCAAACCTTTTTATTCTCCCCGAGAACGTTCGAGCTACGTCCTGGTTGCTGTCTATTTAAAACCGAACACCCACACCAGCGCACTGCAGCTCCTGGCCGATCTGATAACTAGTGTAGAACTGGAATATTCCGACTCCCACTCATTGTTCTAGGGGACTTGAACAGAGCAAATCTCACCCAAGAACTGCCCAAATACAGACAGCACGTTACCTGCCCCACCAGATACAAAATCACACTGGACCACTGTATAAAAGACACCTATCACTCTGTCCTCCGCGCAGCCCTCGACTCTCTGATCACTGTATGGTCCATCTTATTCCAACCTACAGGCAGAAACTTAAAGCAGCGAAGCTTGTGGTCAACACAGTGAAGAGCTGGACTGAGGAGGCTAAGTCAGAGCTACAGGCCTGCTTTGACTGCACAGACTGGAGTGTATTTGAGACTGCAGAAACAGATGAACTCACTGACACCGTGACATCTTATATCAGCTTTTGTGAGGATGTGTTTCTTCCCCCGAGCCATCACTCTGATTAACACTTAACCCACGACAGTATGACTGGACAGTAACCCTCAGTGCAATACCTTCCCCCACTGCAATAACTTGTAAATATACATTGTACAGACTATACATATTCATACAATTTGTACAGATTAAGTATTCTATTTTTATCTCAGTTCCTAATGAACATTCCTTTGTCTACATTACTGCCTGTTTATACTGTTTATTTTGCATTGTTTATTGCTTGTTTATACTGTTTATTTTGTTATACTACACAGCCTTATATTGGTATATTGTCTACTTACCCCCTGCTGTTGCCTTGCATGGGAATATGTACATGCACATTTTGAGGGCTGTACCTGAATAAAATTCCTTGTGTCCAACACACCTGGACAATAAAGCTGATTCTGATTCTGATACTGATTGGAGCAAAAATCACATGTAAAAAGACAGCCAATTAAGAGGCTTATTCCAGGTGTAAAAGGAACAATCCCCTGTTTTTCAAGGAGGTATATTTTTGCAGATTTCTTTACACATGCACAAATCTTATTTGTATTTAGATATTTGTTTCCACATTTATAGATCTCAGTACATGTTTACAGATTTGTGCACACATTTACAAATCCCAGTACACATTTAAATCAAAATCAAATCAAATTTCATTTGTATAGCGCCAAATCACAACAAAAGTCATCTCGGGACACTTTACAAAGTAAGGTCTAGACCTTATTGTTATCACTATTATTACAGAGGGAAAACCCAACAAATCCCCCTTGAGCAAGCACTTGGCGACAGTGGGGAGGAAAAACTCCCTTTAACAGAAGAAACCTCCGACAGACCCCGGCTCTTGGCGGGCGGCTTTCTGCCTCGACCGGTTGGGGTGAGTGGATAGAGGAGAGACAAAAGAAGAAAAGCAACAAGACACAACAATC